TGCATCTGATAGATTGCTTATCTTCATTTTGTTTGGTTCTTTTGTCTAGAGTTTTCATCTGTTCTTTCATTTCAGCCATGTTTCTCTGTCTCCTCATTTTGGCAGCCTCTCTGTGTTTGTTTCTATGTACTAAGTAGAACTGTTTTGACTCTGTACCTTGGTAGTGTGGCCTCATGTAGTAGGTGTCCTGTAGGGTCTAGTGGCACAACCTCCCTTGTTACCCAAACTGGGCACTTGAGGTGCACCCTTCATGTGAGCTGAGTACACTCTCCTCTTGTAGTTGAGCCTTGGTTGCTGTTAGCAGATCAGTGGGAGGGATTTACCCAGGCCAGTCAGCTGCAGGACTGGCTATGAAAACTGATCATCAACCTCCACCCTTCATCGAGGATCAGCTGTGCAAGGACAAGGTGGTGGTGCTCCAACATGGTCCAACTTTTTACTGGGTACACTGGCCGTGGGGTTTCCTGGGTGGTGTAGGCCAAGGTCAGCCCCAATCTTTGTTTTGCCCAGGGCACCCTGCCTGAGCTGTAAAGCAATTTGAGATGGCCGCTACTTGTGCTGGGCTTGGAGATTCCCAGGCAAAGCCAAGCTCTGAATCTAATCTGGCTACTGCTATGGCTCCTTGAAGTCAGCTGTTGCTTGTCTGATAGGATTTAGGAGCCAAGACCAGCCATTCTTATGGTGAAGCAGCTTGGGCGGGCCCAGAAGTTGGGTAGGGCAGAGCCTCTGGGAAATCTCCAAGGCAGGTCAAACAGTGTTAGCCAGGATGAGGGAGTCTCAGATAGGGCACCAGCTTACTGGCTCTGTGGCTCTCTGAGGGGATTAGAAAAAGGACAATGGCCTCTGCTTGCCTTGATGCCAGACACTTCAGTCCCTCCCCTGTATACCACTGGTGCCTTTCGAGCTCCTACCCCAGTGCTGGAGCTCAGAGGGAGTGAGTCTGAGTAGGTGAGTCTTTGTGGGTTCTTGAAGAGCAACTGCTTGGAGCTCCAGCAGTTTCTTCCACAGACTCAATCCCCACTGGTTTTTGCAGCCAGAAGTTGTGGGGATTTATCTTCCTGGCACCGGAATCCTGGGCTGGGGGGCCTTGTGTGGGTCTCGCATTCCCTGCTCCCAAGATATCCCTCCTGAATTTTTATCCAGCTCATTCCACATCTGCACCCCTCTTATCAGCCTGGATGGATTTGATTTCTTGAATTCCGTAGTTGTCAGATTTCCATTCACCTCGATTTCTGACTTTCATGAGTGATGATTTTTCTGTTTGTTGGTTGTTTTGTTTTGTTTTGTTTGTAATCTTGATGTGTTTGTGTGAAGAGATGAGCCGTGTCTGCCTACACTGTGTTCTTGACTGGAAACCTACCTCTGCTTTGCAGGTTTGTGGGAAAGGTAGATATGGGAACAGATGAGAACCAGAGATTGGGGAAGGAAGCTAGTCTGGCATGAGGACTTACAGGAAACTTTCAGGAGAATGTGGTAACTGAGATGATGAAGTTTCAGAAAGCTTCTAAGATGATCTTCACTAGACACAAAGCAAGAAACACTCTGTATATATGCCCTGACTGGTGTGGCTCAGTGGGCTGGGCATCCTCCCACTACCCAAAAGTTTCCCAGTTCTATTCTGGTCAGAGCATATGTTTGTGTTGGGGGTACCAGAGCTGTGGAAGAGGCAACCCACTGATGTTTCTCCTCCTCTCTCTCCCTCCCTTGTCCTCTCTCTAAAAATAAATTATTTTTCTAAAGAAACACTCTGTATGTGCAGCAGGCACATACTAGGTCATATGTAAGGTGTGGGGTGTGTTTTTTTTTTCATAATGCACTCTCTTCTTTGTCTTCTGAATAAATATAGAATTTTCTAGGGCAGTATTTCAGGCCCTACACTACATTTACCCAAACAAGTTTCTATGCCTCACTTTCTGTGGCTCTGCAGTATCTCCAACTCCTCCTGTACCTGAAAGATGTGGTTCCCTTTCATACTTCCATAGCTTGGTGTATTCTGATTCTTCTGCCTTGACTACTCTCCCCTAGTGCCCTTTCTCCTTCAGAAACTATTCATCCTTTAAAGTTGAATACTTGGAAAAGCTATCACTAGCCTCCTTTATCATTGGCCCTGTCTCCTCTTCTTTCTTTATGGATTTTTAAAATTGGTAAAATAACACATAACACAAAATGTGCTATGTTAGACATTTTATCTTGTTTTGTTTTATTTTATTTTTATTTTATTTATTTATTTATTTATTTATTTATTTATTTATTTATTTATTTAATTTTATTTTATTTTCACCCAAGGATATGTTTATTGATTTTAGAGAGTGAGGAAGGAAGAGAAAAAAAAACATTGATGTGAGAGAGAAACATCAATGAGTTTCCTCCCACATATGACCTGCAATGTAGATATGTGCCCTGACCCAAATCAAACCCTGGCCATAGCTCAGTTGGTTAGAGCTTCCTCCTGATATATCAAGCTTGTGGGTTCCATCCCCAGTCAGGGCACATATAAGAATCAACCAATGAATGTATCAATAAATGGGACAAGAAGCCAATGCCTCTCTCTCCCCCCTTTCTCTTTTTCTAAAATTAATAAACAATTCTTCAGGTGAAGACTAAAGAAAAATTAGGTGATAATAATAACACTACATGCAGCAGTGAGAGCCCAGTTAAGGGGAGCCCTTCCTACACCCTCCTCCACTGACAGAGCAGGAGAGAAACTTGGAGAGGTTAGACCAACATTGCCTTCCTGAGCAAGCTCATGCAATCATTCACCTTGAAAAGTGTCTCTGTGCCAATATTGCCTGAGTGTTTATCCCCATCCTGAGCTCTCATCCAGTACCCAACCTGTAAGTGCAGCTGTGTTTGATGCAACCTGACTGGGGCATCTCACAGACCTTTCATACTTGTGTGCAAGCTGAACACTCATTCTCCTCACCCCAAACTTAGTCATCTCAGTAAATGACATCATCCCATAGCTCAGGCCGAACATCTATGGGTCACTTGACCCTTCATTGCACCCCTTATCCTTCATATCCAACCCACCAGCAACATCTGTGGACTCCATCAGCAAAGTTTATCCTGAAAGAGTCCACATGAAAAGAGGTTTACATGTCCTCATGTAAACCTTTGCCCCAACAGTCCCAGCCACTCCCATCCACACCAGGACTGCTGAGTTACCTCCTGTTCTGGCAAAAAGGGTTTTGTTTTTGTTTTTGTTATTTTTTGAAGATTTCATTTATTTTTTAGAGAGAGGAGAGGGGAGGGAGAAATAGAGGGCAGAAGAGAAACACCCATGTGCAAGAGACACGTTGATCAGTTGCCTCTCCTATGCACCCCAACTGGAGATCAAACCTGCAACCTACAGGCATGTGTTCTGACTGGGAATTGAATCAGCAAACTTTCAGTTCACAGGCTGCCACTCAAACCACTGAATCACACTGGTCAGGGCTGTTCTAGCACAATCTTGGGATTAGAATAGGTGCTCAGTAAATATCAGCTGAATGAGTGAGACTAGGGAGAAATTTTCAGAAGAGCAAAGGCTGATATGGGTCCCTAGAGAGGTGATGGAGACCTTTCTTGGTTCAGGTAACAGGAGAGGAATCTAAACTGTCCATCAGGAGTTCAGGACAGGCAGCTAAGTTGGTTGGAGCATCATTCCATACATAAAAATGCTGTGGGTTCCACTTATCATCAGGGCATGTAGGGGATGCAACCAGTCAATGTTTCTCTTTCACATTGAAGATTCTCTTTCTTCTTCTTCTTCTTCTTCTTCTTCTTCTTCTTCTTCTTCTTCTTCTTCTTCTTCTTCTTCTTCTTCTTCTTCTTCTTCTTCTTCTTCTTCTTCTTCTTCTTCTTCTTCTTCTTCTTCTTCTTCTTCTTCTTCTTCTTCTTCTTCTTCTTCTTCTTCTTCTTCTTCTTCTTCTTCTTCTCCTTCTTCTTCTCCTTCTTCTTCTTCTTCTTCTTCTTCTTCTTCCTATCTCTCAAATCAATAAACATATTTTCAGGTGAAGAACTGTTAAAAACTGACATGACATCCAGGAAAAAGCATTTCTAGGAGAGGGAATGGATAGTGCTAAGACTCTGAGCAGAACAAGCTATTGTGCCTGCAGCTCAGTGGAGATGAGGTCACAGAGGGAACAGGGCAGGGCAAGCTGGAAGCTCCTGGGCCTTGGAGAGGCCTTTAGATTCCACCCAGGTTCATGGTGGGGGCATTCAAGGAGGCCATGCATGTGCTGAAGGACAGGGCAAGGTGGGCTCTATTCTCTTGTTCATTCTTTCCTTCTCTCTCCCAAGGCTCCTCCACCTTGAGTGTGCCAGCCAGCCTGGGACTCACAGGTGCCCCAGGAACACAGCCCTGATCCTTGATCACAATTATTTCGTAATAGTGAAAAAACAAACCCAATTCGAGCCAACTACAGAGTATCAATCAGCTGTGGCCACAAGAACACTGTGAAACAAACCCTCCTAAAATGTAGTGTCTTACAACATGTCGTTCATTCTCATGCATTATTCCTAGCAGATTAAAAACTGGAAACAATACAGATATTGATCCACTGATGAGTGGGTAAACAGAACATGGTATATACATAAAACAGAATATTATTCAACTATAGAAATGAGCAACATACTGACACCCACATGCTACCTCCTGCACAACCTTGGAAATATTATGTTAAGTGAAAGATGCCACACAAAAGTCCAAATGTGATATAATTCCATTTATGGGAAATACCAAAAACAGACAGATCCATAGAAACAGAAAGATTAGTGGGTTTTGAAGACTTGGTGACAGGGGATTAGGAGTGAGTTCTAATGGGTATGAGTTTTTCCTGGTGGTGACAAAATGCAGAATTTTATAATAGAGTCCATGGCACAACTCTGAAAATACTCAAAACCCCCAGAGCTGTACAATTGCAAAGAGTAAAATACATGGTGTGTGGATTCTATCTCCATACAAACATAAAGTATTGATAGTGTGAGAGCTCCACCACGCCCATATGTCCTGGTCAGCCTCAGGACCAGTGCAGGGTTTTGTGGAGAGCCGCCTGCACTGCCTTGTTCCGCAGACAGTAGATGACAGGGTTGCACATGGGTGTGATCACAGTGTAGATGACAGACAGAATCTTGTTTAGATCTACAGCTTCCATGCGGCTGGGACGGGCATAGATGAAGAGAGTGGCTGAGTAGAAAATCCCCACCACCACCAGGTGGGACGCACAGGTGGAGAAGGCTTTTCGGCGGGCAGCAGCCGATGGCATACTCAGCATGGCCCTACCAATGGCCACATAGGAGGCCATGGCCACAAGGAGGGAACCCCAGAGGATGATGATGGCAGAGATGAAGTCCACCAGTTCTGTCAGGGCCACATGGGTGCAGGACAAGTTGAGCAGAGGGGAGACATCACAGAAGAAGTGGTTGATGACATTGGGGGCCACAGTAGGACAGGCTAGCGATACATGAGGTCTTGACCACTGAGACCAGCAGCCCACCAAGCCATGAGGACAAGGACAAGGACAGGCAGACCTGGGGCCTCATGAGCAGTGGGTAGTGGAGTGGGTGGCAGATGGCAACATAGCGATCATAGGCCATAGAGGCCAGGAGGGTGCACTCGGTACAGATGAGGGAGATGAAGAAGAACAGTTGGGTCATGCAGGCTGTGAAGGACATGGGGCTGGGTCCAGCCCACAGCCCCACAAGCAGGCTGGGCATGGTCACTGACACATAGCTTACCTCCAGGCAGCTCAGGTTGCCCAGGAAGAAGTACATGGGCTTGTGGAGCTCACTGTGAGTGAGGATGAGATGGATGATGAGGCTGTTCTCCAGCAGGGTCACCAGGTAGAGAGTCAGGAAGACAGCAAACAGGACATCCCTTACCTCTGGCCTTGTGGACAAACCCAGCAAGATAAACTCTTGTACTCTGGTCATGTTTCCCAGCTCCTGAGGGCTCCCCATCTGAGAACAAAATACGTCCATAAAATATGCAAATCTATCTCTCTACACCTTGCTCACCCTAGATCCAGCCATTGTTTCACCTGAGTCAATGAAATAACCTTGCCTGGTTCCTCTGCTTCCAGTCTTGCCTTCCACAGTCCTTATCCATGTAGCAGCAAGTGGAGTCTTGCAAAGTAATTGAACACAGCCCTGGCTGGGTGGCACAGTTGGTTAGAGCATTGTCCTGTACTCTAAAGGGTCATGGGTGGGATTCCCAGTAAGCACATATCCCTAAGTTGTAGGGGTTCAATTCCCAGTTGGGGCTCATACAAGAAACAACTGGTCAAAGTTTCTCTCTCATCTCTCTGTCTCTCTGTCTCCCTCTCTGTCTCTCTCTCTCTATCTCTCTCTCTGTCTCTCTCTCTGTGTCTCTCTGTCCAAAAATCAATAACAACATACTTTCAGGTGAGGATAAAACAATCATAGATCATCTCTGGCTGGGTGGCTCAGTTGGGTAGAGCATAACCCTGTACACCAAAAGGCTGTGAATTCAATTCCCAGTCAGCACACATGCCTAAGCTGTGGGTTCAATTCCTGGTTAGGTTTCCTACAGGAGGCAACTGATCAAAGTTCCTCTCTCACAACAAGTCTCTCTCTCTCTCTCTCTCTCTCTCTCTCTCTCTCCCTCTCTCAAAATCAATGAAAACATATCTTTGGGTGAGGATTTTTAAAATATCATAGGTGGGCCCTGGCTGGCATGGCTCAGTGGATTGAGCACAGGCCTGCAAACCTACAGGTTGGCAGTTTGATTCCAAGTCAGGGTACATGCCTGGGTTGCAGGCCAGGTCCCCAGTTGGGGACATGTGAGAGGCAACCTATTGATGTATCTCTCACGCACATCCACGTTTCTCTCCTCTTACTCTTTCCTCTCTTCTCTCACTAAAATAAATAAATAAAATCTCTTAAAAAATTGTACATCATATGGGGTCACTCTCCTGTTTAAACCTGACAGATTTCTCAGTTATTATCACAATCAGCATCATGTTCCTTATCATGGCCTCAGAGTCCCTCAATTTTTGGATCCCTGCTTGTTGCTCTAGGGCTTAGAGCACATCGTAAGTCCTGATCTCCCATCTACTGAAGCCCCATGGGCACCCTTTCACTTCCTCAAATGCTCCAAGGCCCTCCACACCTTAAAGAATTCCTACATAAAGTTTCTTCTGCCTGGAACACTTCACCCCTGGTTCTCCTTCATTATTCCTGGGAATCTTCACCATCCTTGGCATGCATTTTTCAATGTATTATCTTCAGATAAGGCTCCCTGTGCATCCTTTATCAAACCCTGTCCTTGCTCTCTATCCCCTCATCCCCTCTCAGAGGCCTTTCAGAGTGATCCTTATTGTTTTCAATTGTTTGTGTGTTTGTTAAGTGATTCAGTGTCTGTCCAACTGAGTTGTAAGCCTAGGTAGAAGGGCTGGGTCTGTGTGACTCAGAACTGCATCCCTGACACCTAGTGAGAAAAGCACACCACTGCCCAGTATATAGTACATGTTCTTTAAGGCATGGCAGATCAAAGCTGGATGGCCAGGCAACACTGATCTTAATATATGCAGCAAGAAAGAGTAGGGGAACCCTGGCTGGTGTGGCTCAGTGGGTTGGAAATCATCCTGCAAACCCAATGGTTGCCAGTTCAATCCCTGGTCAGGGCACATGTTTGAGTTGCAGGCCAGGTTCCCAGTTTAGGGGTGTGCAAAAGTCAATTGATTGATGCTTATCTCTCACATCAATGTTTGTCTTTCTCTCTTCTTCCCTGCCCCTCTGTCTAAAAAAATTAATAAGGAAAATCTTGTTTAAAAAATAAACAGGACAAATAGCCAACAATAGAAGATTGGTTTAAATAATTCAATCTACCAGGACATTGTGTAATATAGTCAATATTAAGTGTTTTTAAAGGAAGCTATAAAATTGTGTATGTACTATTTCTTATAAGAAATAGTACATACAATTATTTTTACACAAAGGACTATAAGAAAAAAAGACTGTTAGCAACACACCATCAATGTTCAGAAGAAGAAGGAGGAAGAGGAGAAGGTAGAGGAGAAGCAGAAGAAGGAGAAGATTTAAAACAGGAAAAAGCAGTAGAGGGTGTTGGCTGGGAGCACTGGGACTCTTCCTAGCTGGCTTCCCTACATTCTCTGATGGTTGCTGATTTGTAAGTGCAGTGTCATCTTGAGCTCAGAAACCTGCCTAATCTGCCTATTGCAATCTTTACCACATTGCTTGATTTATTCAAGTCTTTGTTTGTTTGGTTTTCGTCTGTGAAATGGGGAGAATGATGTTGGCTCCCATGAGACATTGTGAGGACTACATGAAAATGAAGGGGAAGTTCTAGATGAATAAGTTATTAGTTTTGATAGACTTGGGTCAGTTTGTTTATAGGTGTCATTTAAAAACACATCTCCACAGTGAACTAGAGTGATTCTCCGGGTATCCTGAAGTAGAGTAAAATCCTTATCTCCCTATGCTGGGGTTTCTCTATGGATGTGCTATCAAGAATTGAAGTTAACCACCATTTATTAACTAAGAAAGTCAATTGGAGATATTTCCTAGAAATGCCAATGGAAGTTTCATTCCTGATTTATTCTACAGATTATATTCCCCCTCCCAATATTTCTTACCATGAAGATGGAGATATATACATTTATTGTATATATCTATATCCAGGGTGGGTCCTTTTAATAAAACATTTCATTCATTTTCAAAACCCTGAAATGTGTCATTTTTCTTATTATTAAAGACCAAAACCCGAGGGTTCCAGAGGCTAAAAGTTCAAAGTGAGAAGCCTGATATTTTTCAACTCAGTTCTATGAGCACTTTTCATGAGATTGACGTTGTTGGTGAATCCTGTCCTTGGTGTGTGTGTGTGGGGGGGGGGGGGTTGCTGCTGCCTGAAGACTCATCTAACCTCAGAGAAGATTAAGTGACATCTGGAGGTATTTAAGGCTCAACTCGGACCTGTTGGGTCAAGTAGTAGTGTTTGGAGCTGTCCCTGGTCCTGAAACAAGCCCAGCACCTCAGCCCTGGGGACAGAGTCCCAGGGAGAGCCAGCTGTGCGTGGTTCTGAATATGAGGACAGCCCAGCAGCTGTAGTGCTGGCTGGTGGGGGCTCCCCTTGATTCCAAGCAAGAACTCCTCAACTGCCCTCTTCCCTTGGCATTTCCCTTCCCTCATCTGACTCTTCTCTTTGATGACCCACTTTCCCTCTGCTCCCGAGTCTGTTCCTAATTCCTCTCTTTGCCCCTGGGTCAGATTTAACTCTACTGTGAAGTCTCAGCCACTTACTTTAGATACTGAGAGGTGTTTCTCACTTATCTCACATAAGAAGCAATCAATTTAATCCCAACGACCTATTTGTAATTTTGTAGCCAAGAATCAGGGTGTACAGAGACTATTTAGGATTTATTTTTATGCCATAATCAGTTATTGAGCATGAACTATGTACTGAACACTGTGCTAGGCACAGACAGGACAAGAAGATGGAAAAGATATAGGGATTCTATCTGATACTTTCTTTTTAAGTTTTTAAAAAATTTATTGAGAGAGAGATTTGTTGTTGCATTTATTGATGTATTCATTAATTGCATTTGTATGTGCCCTGACTGGGTATCAAACCTGGAACCTTGGTATTTCATGGACCATGCTCCAACCAGGAGCTGCCCAGCCAGGGCTCACCTGATGTTTTTTCATTCGCTAAACTTGGACATGTTACATAACATTTCTGGCCCACAATAGCCTTTTCTAAGAAAAAGATAGATGTAACTATCTTCATCTCAAATTCTCAATAGCTCCACTATTTAAATAAGAGTCAGAGAGAACTGGCTCAGAACACAAGATCTTTCACTGAATAGCTGTCGGATTTTGGACAAGTTACATGTTCTCATAGAACTTCAGAATTCTTATATGCAAATTGGGGACTATTTGATGACTTAGTGGGTTGCCATGTTCCAAGTTTCCAGCTCATGGTAAACAATAAATATTAGCTGGTATTATTAGGCAATACATCCTACAAACACAGGTATCTGTTTATGATATGGACATTGTTCCCTTAACACAGGTTGGAACTACCTGTCAGTGACATGTTATTCTCTGCATTTTTCAGAAGAAGAACTAAAACTGAGTGGAGAGAAGAACCTTGTCTAAGTCACACAGAGAGGGGCAGCCACTTCTGGGTCTATCTGATTCTGAAGCAAGTGGTCCTTTTTCTAGACTTTGTTGCCTCTCTGTGTGGAAGCAGTTGCACATGTCCGAATCTGTACAATGAAGTGATGCTTTGGCTTGACTAACAAGTGACTTCAGTGCTGGCATATTAATCCAGTCCTTTCCAACAGAGAAGGGAGTCATGCAAGCAACAAGGCAGGGTAGGGGTTTGAAGAGGAGGGTTTACTTGAGAAGGAAGGACTGGGGGAACCTCATGCAGGATCTGACATTTGAACTGAACATTTTTACCCCTTGTCTAAAAAGTTATTCTTGTTTATTCTATTAGAGTTGTCCCAGTTTTCCCCCCTTTGCTCCCCTCCACCCAGCCCACACCACACTCCCACAGTCAACCTTGAAGGATTAGTAGAAATTCAAAAGTTAGAATATGTGCAGAGTGATGGGCGGCCCAGGAGGAATGAATGGCATCAGCACAAACGTAAAGGAGAGAGCACAGTTTGACCAAAGTCACTCAGGTACTTGGGAACTCCAGCCCTGGTTTTCTGCTCCCAACGCAGCCCTTCCTTCCTGGTAGAAGAATTCAGACTTGAGAATCCCATGGACTTAGACTCCAAAGCCAAATCCTCTCCTGCCTGCTTGTGTGAAATCAAGCAAAGTTATATTTTTGCTCCTATTTATTTATTTATTTATTTATTTTTAAGTTGAATAGAGACCAAGCCATTTTAGAAGTCCTTTCCCTTTGACCCCCGAAACGAGCTATCCAGTCGTCTTACCTGAATAGCTTGAGTAAGATGGGTCTCTCTGAG